AAGTCATCTCTGCATCCGCAGAAGAATATTGTTATTAAGGCTCCTTCAGCACTCAACAAATTGTACTTTCTAGCAGTTAGCTACAAATTCCTATCAGTTCAATGATCTATAAAATCTTGGTTATTACAGTGGGTTATCTAAGCATTATGTTAAAAAAATTGATGAATTTCAGCAGCTAATATTAGGTTCCAGTCTGTACAGGACTGTAATTTTAAATTTAACTATATTTTAAAAGTATTTGTAATCAGGTTTTTCATTCATTTTTAATCCACCCCTATTTTTTTATTATTTATATATTCTGCTAATATACAACCAACACTACAGAAAAGGTAAAAAAGATTTCACAAGTTAGAAATACAAAACCCAAAAAAGGCAGACAGTACACAAGTGAAAATGTTGGAGAAACTACTTGCAAAAGGCATAAAAATCCCATAGCACTATTTTCAAACAAGTCAGGGCTACCAGCAGGCTAACAGAATCTGAAGGGTCAACAGATCATCTAAGTGTTTTTAAAAAAAAAAAAAAAAAAAAAAGTGCTCAGAGAAGATAAGGCTCAAGATGCAAAATGCATTCTGCTGTGTTCATAAACAAAGTTTGGGAAGATTCCTATGTCAGAAACCTTCTTCACGAGGGACAGCCAAGGATTTTTTCCTGAAGTTAAAAGCCTGACAAAAGTGATTATAGGACAATAGCGACAAAAAACCCAAACCCGAACAACACCCCCCCCAAACAGTAGCAATTTGACAAGTTCAGATGACATCCACCAAAGAAACTCAAGGATGAAACAACTGAAGTATTAAATGTGATGTGCATTGTCTGGATTTATAATACATTAGTACCAGAGGGCCTGAATATTACCAAGAGGATACCACTTTGTAAAGAGACCCTAGAGGAAACATGTTGATTCAGTGATCACATTAACCACATTAGCCTGGTATCTGCGTGGGGCAAAGCAGCAATCACACAGTAAAGTGTGATGCACAGGGAGAAGTCGAATAAACTTTTCTGAAGTGAAGTCACAGCTCAATCATACTTCAGGTCTTTAGATTTCCAAAAGCCATTCAGTAAGGTTCCTTAGTAAAGGCTCTTAAACCCCTAACGTGTCTTGGGACAAATCAAAACACCACACACCAGTAATTGGTGAAAAGACACGAAACAAAGCCTGGTATGTCTCCGATGGGAGCTCTGCAGAACTGTGCTCAAGCTTGTGCTCTTCAGCATGTTTGTTAAGGGCAAATAAAAGGATGACAACATTTGTTGATGACACTAAGCAATTCAGAGTAGTGAAGACAAGCACAATGTGCAAACAAATGAAGTAGTTCATACTGCTGAGCAGGCAGCACAATGGCAGATAAAATTCACTGTAGATGTGCATATTTAATGCACATGGTGAAAACAATTCTATTTTTAGATAGAGATGGACTCTGAGTTGCCCATTACCATGCAGGAATGAGAATCTGGCATAATGATAGAAAGTGCTATGAAAATGCCAAATCACTGCTCTGCAATGGAGAAAAAGCAAAAACAACTGCTAGGAATTACTGGGAATAGAGCACAAGGCTGAAAAAACATTATGCCAGCATTTTAACTCCTAGCATAAAAGAACAGGAAGGAAAAGGAGAAATAAAGATGACAACATTTATGAAAGGCAACCAAACAAAAAGACATTGCCTCCAGCTCAGGGAGCCAGAGAGCTATGAATTACTGGAAACTTAGTGAGCCTGCTGGGAGGCAACTGCCTTGCTCTTACACCTTTCTCCTATCGGTCAGCGCTGGAAACAGGGTATCGGCAAGAAGGAACTCTGCCCCGACCTGGCCATTTTTATCACTTATCTCTTTTGTCTTTATTTAGAGCTGGAGCCTTAAAAATTACAATGCAACTCTGAATAAAGACAACAGATAGCAATGATAGCTTAGTTGATCCAAGCCAACGTCCACTGAAATCAGCAGAAGGAACCCATAGGAAATGGGTTTAACCTAGAAAACATTAAGACCCAAAGCTGGCTTCCTCTGAGGTCAGTGACACACATCTTTGACTTCAGTGCAAGAGGATGATGCCTACAGTGAGTTACGAACAACTAACAAATTCATAAACCATTTCACATAAATTGAGGTAATTGTAATTTACCATCAGACATACCGAGAGCAGAAAACCAAAACCCACAACACATCCGTTATCAGCTAAAGCGTTGATAAAACAATAGGACCGATATGGGTCAAGTCACTTATCGCTGGCTGGTTATAGGGGATGCACAGTAACATGGAACTTTTTTATTACGTGAATGGGCTACTAAGAATGACAGGCCAGTAATTTCAGTACTTCAAAGGGGTTTTTTTTCTTTAAAGTACTGTGAAGAAGTATGATGAACTTGGACAAAGCAAAAAAAAGAAAGAAATCCAAACAGAAGAGTACATTTACCCTGGCATACGTCACAGAACAGTAAGTTATTTTCTAATCACACAGTTATCACCTACAGATATCCACACATTTTAAATCTCTGGCAAAACTGGATTAATTCTGTTCTGACATAAAAATGAGACGATAAAATTCCCGATGCAAAATAATCAGAGGTCAAGCAGTCTCCTTGCCGCTGCATGTAGTGAAAAGAATAGCAAGCTCATCTTCACTGCACGCAGCTGAAGCTTATGCGGGTGTCAATCTAAAGGTTTCAACCCTAAGGTAGTATTTACTGATAATATTTAGGTTCAGCTAATAGGAGCATTCTTATCCACATCCAGAGAGACAAAGTATCAGCCTAAAATATTATCTATTAAAAAAATACAGAGGAGACAGAAGTTTATTTCTTCCTAAAAGACGATGGAACGAGAAAAGATTCTGCAAGTTTATGGTAACCTGAAATCTAAGGAAGAACATCAGCTCCTTTTGGGGAAAGGAGTCCATCTCAGTAACTGTTTAACTCACCAGGCACATTAAGAGAAATGGAGCCACCTAAGCAGGTATTTTAGAAAGCCTCCTTTAAATGTTTCTATTGAACCAGAAAGACAAAATTAGCTAGTGGAAAAAGAGGAAATTAACTGGGAAAAATAGTTCAGTATGATCAACAGACACAGTCAAGTTTTTCTTATGTTTGCTTCAGCAGAGCTCCATCGTGGTGCTCTCCCCATCAAGTCTCTCAGGAGCCCTAAGGGCAACAGCTTGTCCATCTGCAAAGCAGAAATGAGTCTGTCTGAAAGCATACTGTAAATGAGTAAGTGAAAGTCTCTGTGCAGCTCACAGAACCTTGTGACTGCAATTATCAGAGAGCACAGCAAACTTCTTCCACATGCTTCCAAACAAATTTCACAATTAAGTTTCTTTGGTCATTGCCGAAATCCAAATATGCTCCGTTATAAAGATTAAAATTAGCATTGCCAATGAAAAGTTAATGCAACACATTAAGAATACCAACTCCAAAATGTGGATTTTATACAAGATGAAACAGTTCTACAGAGGAGTTTTCAGTGATTTCCTTCCCTCTCTTGTATTGAACAGTCACACAGTAACAGTTAGCAGATTTGGAAAAGCATTCGTCCTCTTTAGGTCTAAACTTGCACACCAAAAAAAAAGTCACTGCTGCATAAAACAAGATTAGAACTTAAGTTAAATGAACATTAAAGCTTACCCTTGAAAATGCTTTACATATAGAAATATGAAAATCTAACTGGAGAGCAAGTCCCCATACCTTTAAAAAAGCCTTTTCTGTATGCATCCAAGTGCTTTCCGACTGGCATATTGTACACACATGTTGGACACCGACAGCCATGCAGATATACAATAAAATCTATCATTTCTGTTTACATAAAAGACAGTATGTTGATACTGGCAACAGAAAAACCAAGGTTTAGAGTTAGTTTTCAATGTCTTCTTCCTTTCAACTGCTCACAACCATTTCTAAGGTAAGATTTTTAACTCCTGTCCTCTATTAAAACTGAGTGTTTGATTTAGTCGAAAGACAGAAAAATAATCCCATTCTTTTTGGGTCAGTTGTTTATGAAATTAGCTTTTTTTTCTTGGATGCTGATTTGTTACTAAATATTATCTGAAGCAACATGCACATATGGGATTCCTTTCTGAAAAAGTTTATGTATTGAATATGAAAAACACATTTTGACTGTTCCAAACATAAGCAGTAAATGTTTAGCATGCAATACCATTCACGTACAATATGTAATAAACTTATTTTTGTCATGTAGTTACAAACGCTAGTCTACAAACTGTACAGTTATCTTCATCGTTTTTGCAATCAAGTCTGAAATTGCTAAATACAGCAGTAAGATTTTTTTTTCTTTTTACAACCAAGTTCTTTTATTATTTTCCAAAACTCAGTTTACAAGATTTCAAGTCTACTTTTTACCTCCCTTGGTGGTTTCAGCAAAGATTAAGGACAATCAATTCTTTCCAAGCTCTCTCCTGGAGCTTGTGTCTGTTACCTCATTTCCTGGCTCCTATGAAGCAACGTGAGACAAAACTTTGGTGAAAACTATCACCATAACATTTACATTTTCAAATACTGAGTTCAGTTCCTCAAAAATAGTAATGAACTCCATGGCACAAGAGATTGAACTTCCTCATCCATCACACTATCTTTTCTTCAGGTGTTCATACAACTGAGAAGGGTTTTAAAATGTTACTGGATAGTTTTCCAACACTCCCAAGCAACCATCCCTTCTTTTCTCTCTTTCACACTTCCCAATAAGATATTTCACTAGACACTCCCACACTGTCAGAGTCTTCTTACCCTTGGTCATCTCTGCTTAGCTCTGTTAAGCACCTCTCTCTCATACTCATTCAAACCACAGCATCACATATAGCACCACTTCTTAAATTAAATACTATTTTTTTTTCCTTAGCTTCATCATTCAGGCAGACTTGTAGATCAATTAAATGAAGAATCAGATCTTTGTTAAAGATCAGATCATATTTAAGCTCAAGGACAATACATCATTTGATATTTAAAAGCCACACAAAACAATTTTACTGCTGTAACATAAAAACTTACCCACTTGGCAATTGGACACCCCTGAGAGCTTTTTCCTTCCTTTCCTGTATAAACCACTACCTCTATTCTTACAGCGCTTCCTTTTGCTCCATACCTGCATTAAAAAAAGTCCATGAGTAAAACAAACTGCTGTAGACCATTTTAAAACAGGAAACACTTTCAATAAAACAAGAATAACAAATTTATTTTTACTTGACTGAGAACAGAAGGAAACAAAAATATTTATAAAGTAAAAAAGTACTTCTAAATTTAAAATCCTATTTGCAAGGTGATTTTTGACATCTCTTCTGGTTACAAGCTTCTGCCACTAAGAAAACATTATTTGGGGAAGAAAATGTTATCTGCATGTAAATTGTAGTGCACTTAGTCACTAATGTGATGTGACCTTTCTGTCCAGTCTGCCACAGCTTCTTCGCATGTAGGACACCAGAAATCCTGATTCTACCAGCTGCTGATCTCCATCCTTCCTACTGACTTCAACAGCACCTAAAAGCACGCTGCACTTGAAAATCAACTCTGAAGTTGCAAGAGCTCAGAAGAGACACAGGAGTTTGGAACTGAAATGCTAGTGCTCACCTCAGGCACATCTGAGCAGGAAAACACTTTACAAATGACTACTGCAAAAAGTTTAGAAAAACAAAGCTAAACATAGCACCTGATTTCTCATAACTCCTTTCCTGTTTAGACAGTCAAAAATACTGTGAACATTAAATGCTGAATTTTCCTCACCTGTTCTCCATTATTTCTCTCACAGCAGCCACACTTGGTCCTGTCCCGAGGTGTGTGTAATATGGGCCTTCATCTTTCTCTATAATTTGCTCTGTAAGCAGGTTAAGAAAACTAAGTTGGCACATACAAAATTTATTTACACCATTACAAGTAAGCTTAGAAATGGTTCACAGAAACATCTCCCAAATTAAATTAAAATACATAAAATTTGTCCCTGAAATGTAACAAATAAAGAGCCTCTCCTCAGAGGCATCAAAATTATTTTATGCTTGTTTCCTCTTATTAATCTGCTAGTATTTTTTCTTTATGTTATAAAATAATCCTAATTATAGTAATATTTTGCATTCTTTACAAATTGTAATTACAGGAGCTGACGTATATTGACTAAGTAAGCTTCCCAATATCCTTGATGGTAGGAAAACATTATTAATGTGTTTTAGACAAAGGAGAATGGAGGGAAAATAAATAAGTTATAGTTATATACTACAGAAGAGAAAATACAATCCAGGCCTCTTAACTAGCACTCTGTTGATTCAGAACATTAAAGCAAAGATAAAACAATCTGCCTGCGCACAATTTGTTGTTAAGTCTCTGACTTGTTTTTCCATCTGTGCGCTTTGATATTCTGAAAACACAGCATGTCTAACACCATTCATCAAGCTGTATCTGCAAAATCCTCAGTACTGAGTTGGGTCTGACATATCTGAGTTGGGTTTGACATCCTGCAATGCAAATTATTCCGTATGTGGCCTTGCCTGAACTCTACCTTATCTCTCCCTCTCTGCGACAAGAGGCATCTAGTAGCCTTTGGCATGGACTCTTCAAGGCACACTGACATCGGTCATCAGGACCAACAGTGACAGTAACAAGACCGCTCATGACTATGCCATGCCATTTATCTAATGGCATTTAGGTAACAATGACAATATACTGGGAAATTTTTGCCCCATCCACCTCAGGCAAAAACTAGTTCTAGACCATAAAAATGAGAATCTGATGTACTGCAGATAAATTCACGTAGAGCACAAGTTAGCAATGACAAAACAACAAACAGAAAATCTCCCTTTTCCTCCTCAGTTTAAATTTAAGTAAACAATTTAAACCTGCCAGTTGCAATACCAAAAATATTCAATTCTGCTGCGCTTTGCAGGCCCAAAGAACACCAGGCAAAAGTTACAGAAAGGGAAAAAATAATTTCCTCCCATTTCCTAATGGCAAAACACTGATCCTTTTGCAACAGCTAAGTAAGCGTCAAGTACACCTCCTCACGTTAAAGGAAGCAACATGGACACACCTCCACCTGAAAGGTACAGACAAAAGTTATCAAAAAGACTTACCGACACAGTCACAAGTTGGCAATTCAGATTGTCCTTTTTTTGTAGGTGTATCTATTAAATTTTTTGTAGGCGTATCAAGAAACTTCATCGGTGATTCAAGGAAACTGCTAAGCGTGTTTTTTGCTGGAGAACACCCTGAGTCGCCTGTGCTCTGTGGGTGGTCAGTACCCAAACTGGTTGACGTCAGAACGGTCACTTTGCCCGCGCACTCCATATTCCTGAGAGCTTCAACAGCACCTGGTAACTGGGCCCCACCACAGGGAACAGGCAGCACCTGTAACTTCGGATCTACTTGTTGTTCGACAGCACCCTGCTGAAGATAGGCTTTGTCTTCACTATGCATTTCGTGAGCTCTCAGGTTAGACTGATTAAAAGTTTGAGGCAAAGGATGCATCTGACTGACATTCGCTGTTTGCTGTACCTGAGAATTACATTTTTCTGTAAACATCGGTAGGTTTTCACTTGGTCTGTTCAGTAAGGATGCTGTTTTCAACTGGGAAACAGACAGAGGATTACGGGAGGACAGGTCGCTGTGTTGGTTACATGCAACAACTTCATTTTTCAGTGGATCAGTGCCTAGTGGGTCGCCAGAGCCTGCAGTTTTGATTTGCTCATTCACCACTTCACAGGCAAACAACCTGTCTTTTTTTTTCTCTTGTGGTACCTCAGGTAAACATCTATGGAATTTTATCTGCGTTTGCGGGAGAAATAACCTAGTTTTTTCTTGTGATGCTAAAGTATTTTGATTCAGTGCTCTCTGTACTTTGGTTCTCGGAGATTTTTTTTCAGACGGAGCGATTCTGGAGTCCTGTGGCATGGTTTGACCAAACTTGTGCAGTTTTGATGATATCCAAATGTCCTGTAACTCACTATGCTGGCATGACAGCAGCTCTAGCTGGTTTTGATTATTTTGTTGATAGCGTGCTTCTTGAGGCTTCTTTTTGTGTCTTGGTTTCCATGGTGCAGCATTTCCTTTTTTATTTGTTGGTTGCTTTTGCTTTAACAGTAAGGAACTATAATTATGCCTAAAAAATACAGATTCTTTTTTCTGCAACACATCTTGGTTATATTTTGGCTGCCTCTCGTGTGATATTAGGTTAAGCAGTGATGCCTTTATGTCATTCTTCTGCTCTGGATTTGTCTGGTTTGATTCAATTAGCGCTGCAAGTTGAGTTAGTTGTGTAGCTACATCCTCTTCATCCTGGCTGTGAATTCCTCCTTCTTTAACCAAAGAACTAGCTTCCAAGTTCAAATCATTACAGGTTGGCTTTTGCTCTAACTGGCCAAGAGTTTCCAAGTTGTTACTTGTTTGCTGGACGTTACATGAAGCATTGCAATACCGTGCAAGGGTGACCGGATCATGAGTATAATTTTTCTTGGTAGTATATCCTGAAAATGATTTTGCATTAGATGTTAGGTCAGATAAAGTTTTGGTATCTCTTGAGGATAACTGCAGCTTATACATCTCACCAGCCAGATTGGCAGGCTTATCACGCAATTCCGAAATTGAACTTTGGCCATTGTATAACACTGCCTTATTAGGGAGCTGTTTCTGTGAGTGAGCGCAGTGAGCCAAGAGCTGTTGCTCATTCTGTAAGTAAGTGTCTTTGATTTCTTTTAATGTAGAAGATGTGAAGGAGGAGGAGATATCCCTTTTGTAACTATGGAGCAAGTTGGAAGTTGTTTCTTCGGTACGTTGAGCACTTTCAGTTTTAGCTGGTGAAGTTGTTTCTAAAGGGGCTTCAGATAACTGTGTTAAAGCTTCAATAGCTACAACCTGCTCTACAGTTAAATTCCTGGTTTTAATCAGGGACAAGAAAGTCGGCTGGAGTGCAGAATCCTCACGCTGTGTCTCTGCGTTAGGTACTTTAAAGCCATCCTTCCCCACATGCACTTCCTCTTCAGGCAGTGGAGGACAACACAAGCTTTCTTGCAGATCTGAAATGGAACCCGTCTGCAAAACTGACTGATCAGAACCCTCAAAGATGCTGCAAGTGCAGTTTTCCTCTTTTATTAAAACATTTCCTTGTCTTTCTGGGTGAACACAGCCAACGCCAGTTGTCAGAGTGTTTACTATGTTACTCAGATTGGTACCCTTCATCCATTGCATATGGGAATTGCTTGTCAATTCTGTCCTTTCCTCCACAGATACTTTTTTCAGTGAAGCGACTGCTTCCGATGGTGAATAATGTAGGGTTTTTATACCATTTTTGATGGCCTGTGCAAATGATTTTTTGGGGTCAGCTAACCGACTGGGAGAGACTGCTCTTTCACTGTCTTCAACGTTTTTCAAGTGTTCGTTGCCTGTCACAGTTCCATGGATATCTCCGTTGACATGGACACCAAAAGATGGCTTCTCGTTATGTGCCCACTTCTCTGCTTCTAAGCCTGTCATTCTTTCTTTCTCCTTAGACTGCACATTTTCGATGGGTACTGTTTGGTTTGTTTTCACCCTGTATTTTTCACCATGACCACATATACTGCATTCCATGAGTTCTGGTCTGCGGCCATTTACTGGTTTGTTTTCTAAATTCGCCTAGAAAATAATAATAAAAAAATTTGTTGTAACAGCTGTTCAAAAACATTAAAAATAAAAAGCATAAGATTTGCAGCAATTAAACCCTACTTTGACAGATATGAGAAATATCCTAATTAAGCATAAGCACAGACATTGGAAAAAACCCAGGAAGTCATAAAAAAAAACCCTGAAGCCTAAAGACCTTATCCATATTTATAGCTATTTTTCCTTGTTGTTGGGGAGACAGAGGAAAAAAGTGTGTGCATGTGGTGGTGGTGGTGGTAAAGAAATTAATGAACACATAAAGGACGTCAGCATTTAGAATCAGAATTAAGAATTCAATTTTTAATGAATTTGCATAAGCAGATGAAAGTCTTCCTTGAGTTCAAAGCAGGACTGAAATCTAAAGGTTTGTACTACAGAAAGTTTAGGAGTAATTTGGTATAATTACACCGATTTGGCTAGATCAATAAACTGATACAACACTTGGATGGACACTCTTGCAAGAATGGCTGGTTTTTAGGCTTAGTTTCAAGTCCTTAAAAAAATGACAAAACCTAAGCTGACATGGATAGTAAGCCAATTAATGTTAGCTCACCTGGAAGCTACCCTCCAAACACTGTGTTTAGCTTCCGTATTTAGATGGCAACTTCCAGATTTCTGAACAGTCTCTCACGCAGCTACCCTTAACAGTATTTTAGTAAACTCTAAATTCTAATATTTGGTTAAATATATTCTTCATCTTCACTGATATGATACAATTTATGTGGTTGAAGCAATATCAAAATCTAGACAGAGTCAGAATATTGTGTCCTTGAAAGAATATGTATATAGGCCTTAAGATAATATTACAGATATGAAGTAAGGAGTTGTGCAATTTAAGTTTAAAAAAAAAAAGACAGGAACTCAGAAACAGCAATAAAGGCAGGAATCCAATTTTTATTATGTTAATCAAATTTTATTTCTATTTATATTAAATTTTCTTTTAAAAATAATTTTAAGTCACAATAGACAGTGTTGGTACTTAATCTTACTGTAACATCTAAGTTATCTAAATAATCTGTAGCCTTAAGCCCTATAACAAGAAAACTAGTACTGCTTTTCAAATCAGATAGAAGCAATACAGCTGGTTAATTAACCATACACTGGCATGGTACATCTTAGCAGTTCCCAGAAAATAGCAGCCATTTTAATATAAAACATTCAGTTAAATCAGACATGATTTTGTCGTCATACCAACTAAAGTACACGGACTGCTCTGAGAAAACCCAGAAGAACAAATGCAAAATAGATTTATGATTAATTATAACCATCAAGATGGAATTGCCAGAAACCCCCAGGCAAAACAAGGCATACGGATCCAGCTCCATCTGGAGCCCGGTGTTCACCTCACAACTGATTCCCAATTGATAAAAAACAAAACCAGGAATCCCTGGCATGTCCTAGATATTATGAGAGGCATCATAAATTCTCATGGAAATGCTATGCAAAAACATGTCCAGCACCTAATGCAGCTAACCTATGGAAATTACGTTAAGAAAGAAAAAGATACCTTATTTAATGCTTTTTCATTACACACAGATGCTGACTAATGGTCTGTGAGCCTCAGCTCCTCTGGATCCTGGTGATTTTCAATGAATGATCCACAGACCCAGGGGATCACTGAGCAATTTCTAAGGGATCCACAAAAGCCATTAAGCAGCTCCATTGTTAGCAGGGGTAAATGCATTACATAGGTCTCTGCAACCGTACCAGAAAAATATTTTAAGGGTCCACCATGGAAAAGTAAAACCCCATAATTCTATACCTGTGCAAAAGCTGAATTTCCATTACCTTAATTTAACTTTGGAAAGAACTAGCATATGAAATTGCTGTTTTTTCTTCAGCAAAAGTGTATCTAAGATCCCTATCAGTCCAAAAGTTGTCCCAATCATGTAAGATTATTATTAAAAATTATTTAATTGGACAATTAGGAGGCTGAGGAGGTAGAAGCAAAGAGATTAAAATAATTCCTCAGCATTTCTACATTTTCAACACCACAACATATTTTTGTATTCCCTTCATTTTTAGAGGGTGTTAGTCACCACATTAAAAGAAAAAAAAAAATCTGTCTGGTAAATTGAGAGCAATGAGAGGTGGGGGGAGAAGAGGAGGGTTCACCTCTGATCAGCAGAGATGAGAAGATCTGACACAGTCCACTGACAGCACTCAACGTGCAAAAACATCATCTTGCTTCTCTCAACTATAAAATACTGTCATCTGACCAAAACGCACTGCTTACACTCCAAAATACTCAGGATATTCCCTAATCTGCTACTAGTGCACAGGTGCAGTGCTGTGTCCCTATAAGACCCCAGCAGTAAAGTGGGATTACTTCTAAAATAAAATTATTCCGCATACATCATAATTTCCACTAATATTACTGGAAGCTGCCCACATGCAATGAGGAAGAAAAAAGAACCAGATGAATCATATCATTGGCATGATTTGGTTCATATTTTATTTTTCCACACAAAAAATAAATATTATCATAAAATCAGATTTTTTCAAAAAAACCAAACTTTCTTCCTTTTGAGCACGATGTTGCTTTTTCTCTTCTGCTACTGAACTGCAACGAATCCTAAAAAATACCTATTTCTTTCCTCTCTTACCAGACTTTCCAGTGGCCTTTTCTGTTTAGTATGTGAAGTTATTGTTTCCCAGCATAAAAAGAAACGCAGACATACTAGCAGGGGCAGAGCTCGTTTGATTCTTCTCCTCAATGTAAGTCTGGCAGACCAAAAGTAATAGCTCAGCAAAAACCTTTTGCTGCTGAACAACCCTAGGAGCAATCTGTCTTCAAGTCCTGAATCAGGACTCAAAAAAAACCGTAGTGAAAACTAGAGACAAGGATACCACAAATCCAAGCAAGTCTTAAAATTCATGGAAGTTAAGCATGTAAGTCTGATCTGATTGATTTTTAAATCTTTTACACAAGTGTAATGAAAAGCTGAAGAATAAACTGGATCAATAAAAGTAATTTCCTCTCTTCCTCATTAAGGAGAGCACTACTTTATCTGGAGACATAAAACACTCACAAATCACGCTCAAGCTTAGACTGTGCAGTAGTTAGTGCTATTAAGACAGGAACCATAGAGTACAGTCTGCTGTAGCCATTGCTGTATTACTTAAACATCAACCAGACAATATCTCTTATACACACACAAATTCACTCCATGAGCCAATGCTTCCAGCACACATGAAAAGTCAGTTACAGCAAATCATTTCACCATTCTGAAAAGGGTCAGACTTTAATATTAAACTTTTATTTTAACACAAGACGCCTCCAAGGTAATGCAAAGATTTTACCAATTCACAATCAAAATACAATGCTAAAGCTACCCTAAAGACATTTCCACATCTTCTGTATAACAGAGAGCAGGCCGTAGGTTTATGTCTCTTGTTTCAAACCTCCATTGGTGGTAACAACATATAGCGTACTAAAGGACACAACCAGAAACAATTACTCCCATAAACCAGAAATAATAGATGATGCCCAGATCAACTGCTGGTAAAACAGCTCTACGAGCAAGTCATGACAAGTTACACCATAACCAATGCCAAGTCCCCCTAACTAGCCCTCCCTTCAGGATTGTGCCCAGGTCCCCACGAGAATACAGTACCCAACAGACCAAAAAATACTTGCACCTCCTAGCTTGTGCCAATAACCAGGATGACCCGAAAAGCAGTTCTTCTGAGGTCACAACATCCACCAATATAAAAGGAAGAGTGGGCGAGAAGTACTTGCACTTTGCATCTCTTTTCCATTGCGGTGCAATGGGTAAGTTTGGATCCTGCTGCAGTGTCTGCAGCCACGTAGCCAGCCCCACATGCCCTTCCACGTTGGCACAGAGCTGGCAGCTCCTCAGAGCTCAAATACTGCAACAGAAGCTTTCTTTCAGAAAAACTGTTTGGAAAAAACCTCAAACATACTTAATCTAACATTCAAACAGGGTGTTTTATTCATGGTCCAACTGTCAGATGTCACTGCTTCACTGAGAGATAAGAAGCACCAGCCAGCTGACGCGCAGCAATTTACTCCTATGCAATTTATTCCTGTTTGCTAGTGTCTGCTCCCCAGGACATGCAGAAATTCAGCGGAATCCAGGATCTGCACTGTACAGGACCAACATACAGGGATACGGAGATAAGATATGGACAGGACAGGAGATAGGGAGACAAAGAGCACAGGTGTGAAGAAACAGTTGCTTATGCTGAGCACTATGTAGAAAGCTGTGCCCTGGTTAGAACAGAGACAAAAAGTAAGGCGGGATGCTGTGGAAAGTATAGGACACCTTGTAAGTACAGCCATGTTTTTTTGTAGTCCAAAATAAATGCAGACACAACAATACACTTAAGGATAAACTTCTATTTAGGACCACACTACTTAATGTTTGACTACCATAACGCAGACAACAGCAATGGGCTGTGAGTTGCTGCCCAAGGCAGCACGCTACCAACAGAGTGGAGAAGAGCTGAGCAGGGGCCAAGCTACAAGCTGGGGCATATTCCCACGAATCTCACCAGAGGCATGAAGAAATTACCACCACACTTGCGTAACAACCATGGACATGAAACAGTCTCTTAGTAAGCTGCACTTCTTCAGCAGCTCAGGTAAGGCATGTTTTCTATAGGTCTTCATGCAGAGAAACAGATTGAGGCCCTTTATTAATGTAACACAGCCTGCATATACAAGATGTTTCGTTCCTCAAGAGAACAACATTCACAGATGGCACCGAGGGACAGGACAGGTAATAATTCTGCATTTTAGACGCTACTGAGATCAAAGCAAATAACCTCTACTCTTGGCAAAATGGCATAGACAAGTTTTAGCAGACAGGCTGTTTTATACGGAAACTTAGGGGAAACAAGAGGTTCTGCAAATCTGGAGAAAGCAACCCTACCTGGGACACGTGGCAGAGATCACTCAGGATGTCCGGGCTTTCCTGGAGGGACCTCCTCACTCCCAACTC